TTTTCTTTACTACTACTTCCCTTCTAATTTACTTTATTTTGGTTTGTCATTAAAATATTTATTTGTATAAAAAGTTCACAAATGCTTTCAAGTTATTATGGTTTAAGTTCRATGGAGTACCGGAACATCTCCTTTTGCTTCCATAAGTGACCAGCACTCAGTTTCTGTATCAAAAGACCACACTGCAAAACCCAAAAGGAACGTGAAATARTTCAGCATGAAACAGGGAAAAAGAATAAGTCACTACCAAATGTGAGGATACAAGAACACCACCTGAAACTCTACCACTTGCTGGATCAGTTTTTCCTCCAATAAGGAGTACCTTCTTCCCCCAAGAAACCTAGTTGAGGTAAACAACCACCACAGTTTTCAGCAGTAGCCATTCCAAAAGCTGTCTAGTCCATTATGTATGACATGACTTGGCTAGTTATCATCCAATTTCAGGGAATGGTTGATCAATAAAACGCTATGTTTTTTGATATTGGAAGAAGAAAGAGGTTTTGCCATTTCACCATTCCAGTAAAAATGCATTAAATAGAAATTCACAAGGAAAAAATATGGAGGATGTGGAAGAACAATAATATACAGYCAGCAATAAGAGGCTATAAGATTTATACCAGACCATGACCTTTGCATGCAGGGATTTTCAGTGGCAGACTACTTGGTGACAAGTAAAGCCTTGATGAAGCAGTAGTCCAGGTAAATCTATCAAAATTAAGTACCTGAATAAAAATCAAGAAAAAAGTTTTATCAGATTCCATAAAAAAAACCGGGGGCAAAATCAACATTTTGTTTTTTTTTTTTCTTTTGATTAATTTGGTTGAACAGATGTTAGGGTCAAAAGTGTAACTATAGAGTGTTTTAGTAATACGCAATAATACACAAACTGTAGGATAGGTTTTAGTAAATACATTAAGCTAGAGGGGATGCCAATGTAAATAAGCCTTTGTTTAGTCTTTTTTTGTATAAGGAGATATGTKTATATGTGCATACACAGTWTTAGGCTTTTAGCTCATTAACCATGTAGAGATGTTTCTATCTTTGTATCTTTGGGCTATCCTTTTTTAATTTATAGTAATATTATACTCCATTAAGAGAGAGAGAGGGAGAGAGAGAGGAAAGAAGGTTATCCAAGAGAAACTTATCATCCCTTTACCTGTACATCTTCTAACAATCCATGACCTGATTCACCACCAACCACTATCATTTTGCTCCCAATTACAGCTGCTGCATGCTATTTGRTGAAACAAGTTTAATCTTGGCCTTTAGAAGAATATTTTCAAGACAAGCTTTTAAGTTAAACAGAAGATAGTGTAAAGTAAACTTAGAGCTAAGAGTTGAGAATATTTAACACATTGAATCTGGGTTCAGGCTTGTCTCCTATGGTTGACAACACCATCCAATTCTCAGAGTTCCCTGATGTGCAGTTGTCAATTTCAGGCCCAGAACACTGGCGTTTAAGTTCRTCACAATGACTGCTTGCAGGTGCAGCACTTTCTCCCTGCAAATTAAAARGTCAACACACATCTATAGGACCCATATAAAATTAGGCTACAAGTCTTACATTTGAATGGTTGAGGCGTTTGGTAGATCTTATAGGACTTCTTGTCCCCTCAGTAGAATCTGAAAGCTGGACTTTCA